GATGCAGTGCAGCTTCGAGATGTCTTCGCGATTGCCGTCCAATCGACGGGAGCGATTCTTGCGAAAGGCTTTGCCCGGGGTCCTCGGAGTAGACGGCTGAGCTTGCGCGTCGTCACGATGGTCAGATGAACCTCCTTGGGTGTTCGCTGCTGCGCTCTGCTGAGCGACGGAGAAAGACATAACTTGATAATTAGCTGGAATGAGACTGGTCGAATCGAGGGATTTCCCAGTGCGTCCACCAGTGTTGTAGATACGGTCTTACGAAATGAGAATGAGCTGAGATAGAATCCTTCGTCGACGAGTCCTCGAGTCGAATGGGCGATAGGGCCGCTGAAGAGGTAGCGTGTATAGTAGCGCGTAGCTTACTATGCTTACTTCAACCTGTAAACAGAGCTAATCTTGTCCACTTAGAACGGCGTTAGATCACACTTAGACGCTGAGAGCGCGGGTACGTTGGATGGTAAAAAGGCTGAATTACGAGGCTCCCAGAGCCTGTCCTTATATACATCTCGAGATACAAGCACTAGAGGCTTCTACACAAGTTGAGAGATCAGACAGAAAGGTCACAGAAAGGTCGAACAAGAAGGAGAAAGGACGAGAGGGATGAAGGAATCAAATAGAACGTACTCGAAACAAGTCGAAGTGACCGTACGTATCGAGACTAAGCTAACCTAGTGTCTATCGTAACGTAATCCACAACAATTGCTGCATACTATGCCACCACGATTGGCGAAGAGGAGCGCTTCAAGGTAAGAGTTATTTCGTTGGTGCTTCATCAATCAATAAGTGACATTGGTCACCTTCTACTGTTACAGCTCCTAGACGCGGTATACGAGAGCGGGTGTACCAACTGGGATACCGCCGACGCGTACGGGGATAGCGAGATTTCCATTGGCAAATGGTGCGAGGTCCCCAGGCTCCATCGCATAATGCATATCTGACAGCGACGACCAGGTTTAAGAAGACGGGCAAGCGCAGCGAGATCTTCCTCGCTACGAAATTCGGCCTGGCTGCTGACATCCCAGACCGTATGGTTTGTGGCGACCCTGAATACGTCCCGAAGGCACTCGATAAGTCCCTCGAGCGGCTCGGCGTGGACTACGTCGACCTCTGGTACCTTCATCGGTATGCATCACTCTTCAGCCATATCATGTCGTGTTGAGGACTTTGCTTCTAAGGGCCGACCAGACCGTGCCTATCGAATTGACCGTCCAGGCGATGGCCGAGCAAGTAAAGTGAGTGCCTCCGCATACCTCCTTGATACCGCATTAACACAAAGTCCCCCATTTAAGGGCTGGCAAGGTCAAGTACATCGGCCTGTCCGAGGTATCCTCCGCGACCCTGCGCCGGGCACATGCGGTGCATCCCATCTCGGCCCTGCAGATCGAGTACTCGCCGTTCTCGCTCGAAATCGAGGACGAGAAGATCAGGTTGTTGAAGACCGCGCGCGAGCTAGGCGTCACCGTCGTTGCATACTCGCCTCTCGGCCGCGGCCTCCTCACTGGCCAAATCGTACGTGAACCTGCGCACGCCCAGAGATGCGATGGTTAGTACTGATCACAAGTTGCACAGCGGTCCCCGTCGGACCTGAAGGAGGGCGACATGCGTCTCTGGCTGCCCCGCTTCTCGCAGGAGAACTTCCCGAAGATCCTCCGCATCGTCGACGGCATTCAGGCGATCGCGAAGAAGTACAACGCAACGGCTGGGCAGGTCACACTCGCGTGGCTGCTCGCTCAGGGCGACGACATCATCCCGATTCCGGGCACTTCTCGCATCCCTGTGCGTGTTTAGCCTTCAGTTATCGGCCGCGCTCATGAACTTCACCACTCAATACTCATTGCCCTGTAGAATGCGAAGGAGAACCTGGGCGCGCTCAAGTTGAAGCTCGCGCAGACGGACATCGACGAAATTCGTAAACTCGCACTTGCCGCTCACAATACGATCGGCGACAGGTACGCGGGGGCGTGGCAGGACATCACCCTCGCGGATACGCCTCCCCTGAAGGAATGAACAGTGAGGAGTTAGACCTTCAACAAGCTATAGTTGACATGTATAGAGAATTCCTGCAATGGGGTTGTATGTCCTGAATTAATATCACTCACGCACGGCGTTCCGTCAGAGGTATCTAGTCCGGAAGGGGAGTCGTGACTGTTGTGCGTTGAACACTCTGCCAGTCGTGCTTCGGACTCTTCGGACTAATGGAGACGCTGGAGGGCCCGGGGCCACTGAACGTCATATTTCTCAGCATCGAGGAGTTCCGGAGGTAATTCCGTCGGCGCCAGCATCCTCCGTGCAGTAGACAAGGCACGCACACTTGAGGCGTTTAGTAGAGCCCGGCGACGGGTTCTCCCATATTGTACCCCCCTCTGACGTTCATTTTGCATCGCTACCACTAGGTGAGGGTCGTCCCACATCCGTGACGGGTCAGTAGCACCATGGAGAGCTCTGGGAGAACCTGGTCATCCCCTCTGCATCGGGCCGAATGCTTTCGTAGGTGACCATGTCTAACTGACAATGCTATTATGGCGGTTTGTCGGAACCACCTAGGCGAGGATGGCGATGCACGCCAAACGGCTTGCGGATGAACCCATCCGAAGCGAAACCGCAGTACCTGGAGAAGGACGGGAGTATTTTTCAGCCGCAGTGAGGTTTCGCTGAGATCTCCAGATCAACGGGAAACTGACCTGGTTCACTCAATGCGGTTGGTTCCAGACAGTAGCCCCTCAACGCATGGATTACTATAGGACAGTCAGTGTCTGGCTGCTCCCGTAGAGATAGGAGCATCGGGTAGTTTCCCGGTCAGGGAGTGGGGGTATCTGTGGGACTGGCACAATGTGCTCTGCGGGGCATTGCCATGGGGCGCCGAGGTCGCGCCGCGTGGTTCACCACCGAGGCTAAGCGAGTCGAGAGTCGCGCCCTGTGGTCTCCTATCATGACAGAAGACGTCCAATGTCAAGTGCGACCTCAGTGATCGTCGGTCACGTTTGAATATTAATTATCTTACACAGTTATATCGCAAGACACTTCGCTCTGTGCTGCATGCAGACGGCAACCGCGAACGCGAATCAGATGCTGCGGATGTGCGCTTTGAGGCTCAGAGAGCAAGGAGACAGCGCCGATGTCCAATTACACCGCGCACAATTTACTCCTGCAATTCGCTACGACGGATGCGGTTAGCGGGCGGTTACATGACGAATAAGCAGGCGTACGATGGGACCACGGGCCTCGGGCACTCGGTGTAGCTACGCGTCGAGACTCGAGATCACCCATCACACCCTATTCCACCGACGTCGTTTTCCTCCTTGGCACGACTGTGAGGCACACCAGTACCGACCGTCGGGGGCACCGCCGGAATTCCGCAGGCCCCAAAGACACTTCTCGCGCATTACGAGCTCGAGACGTCCTCGACCAGCCCGATCCTACTCACTGGTGCTGTCCTCCGCACAACGCCGAGGGGGCGGTAACAGGCACACTGGTGCGTCAATTGGGCGCAAGAGAAAAGCCCCGGGGCGGACCTGAGTGAGCAAACGGATGGTTAATTACGCAGGAATAATGGCGAGCCCCCGACGTTCTGGGTCGCTGCGGGCGGAGGAGGGATATCGATGCCGGCGGAAGCGGTGGACGAGCTAGAGCGCCTTCCTTTCGGAAGGTGATGGGAGGCACATCTTATCAGATAAAACGCGGTCGATCCCCAATCAAGCGCCGTCAACAGGTTCATGCGGCAGATAACGTTCACCCTCTCGCGGCTCCACCGTCCTCGCCTCGACGTCCTCGACCCTCCCCATTATTTTCGCCCGGAGAATGCACAGCGCGGTGCCTGCATAATGTCTACAAATATGAGTGGGGCTGCGGGCGTGTTTCCGCGCACTCCGCGCCCTCCCCGACGCCAATACGCCCCGAAATGAGCGACTTCGCCGTTCCTCAGGCTATTGCTGCCTCTACCAGCGGCCTCGCTGCTGCCGTAGCTTCCGTCGCGGTTAGCCCCGCCTTGCGCACACTTACAGAGTCCGCGCACATCGGAAATGTCGTGGCGAGGGATTATATCCTCATTCGCAAGAAGGATGTACGTCATCATGTGTTCCATCCTCCTTGCCAAACAGCTGCTCATCCATTACCTGTCGCAGCCGATGCCGCAGAGGTCGTACTGGGGCATATTTGCTCTGATGGGCCTAGCGACTGCCATTAACGTTGGCTTCGTTGCATGGGCTACGTACCGCCGCTACCAGGTCCGCTCGAAGAAGGACATTCCGGCGTCCCCGCGGCCCTCCGGACGACTCTCGATACGCCGTCTTCCCCACGCCATCCTCTCGGCTTCTCGTATCTGGGGATTCCGGCTGCGTATCCCGTACGTCGAGATGACCCTGGTCGAGTTCTCCCTCAGTATGATGTATATGGCTGGATGCTTGGCCTTCACCTTCTGCCCCAGTGAGTCTCCCTGCTCGATGATACCGTTCGCAGTTAACCAGTATGACAGATGACACCCTGAAGCCCATGGTCAACCTCCTACCAAAGTACTGGGGGGCCAAGGCCGGTCTGTTAGGTGCGGCTCAGATGCCGGTGGCCGTTTTCCTTGCCTTGAAGAACAATCCGGTCACATGTGAGCAATCATTCACCGTGTTGATATTCACCCATCTCAAACATTAGTACAGGGCTTACAGGAATCGGACATGAGAAGGTACCCGCTGCTGATTTTCGGTCGATATTCCTGCCGCTAACACGCCCGTAGCTCATTTTGATGCATCGTGTCGTCTCTCGGTGCATCTTCGTCCTGACATGGCTTCACTTCGTTGGCGAGTACTACCGATCGTGAGTAACAGCGCTATCGATTTCTTCGGGTTCTGACATCATGAATAGACCTGTGAAACTGCTGAGCGCGGGTTGGAAAGTGGCGGGCTTGGTCGGAGGCGTCGCACAGACGATCACCACCATCTTCGGCATCAAGCAGATCCGCCACGCCTATTACGAGCTTTTCTATTCTAGCCATGTCGTCCTCATTCTGTGAGCTTAAACTAGTCCTTTGCCCCCACATGTCCGCGTCCTAACTCATGCCGACAGGCTCTTTATCATCACTATACACGTCCACTGCATCCCCATGGAGTGCGAACAATACGTCTGGCCCTGCTACGTCATCTGGGGCTTCGACCGCCTCTTCCGCGGCTCGCGCTACGTCCTCTTCAACCTTATCCTGCGTCCGAAGAACCGCAAGGCGCTCATCGAGGATATCGGCTCGGATGGTCTCCGCGTCACGCTCAAGCGCAGGATCCCCGGCGGCTGGAAGGCCGGCCAGCACGTCTTCCTCGCGTTCCCCAGGCTCGGCATCCAGTCGCACCCCTTCACGATTGGCAGCATCTATGAGAAAGAGGAGAATGGCGACGAGGCCAAGATGATCTTCATCATCCGCGCGATGGGCGGGCAGACGCGCGAGCTCATGAAACGCGCGATGCCCACGGGGACATGCGAGCTGAACGCACTCTTTGATGGGCCGTACGGCCACCCTGAGGACATCCGCGCGTTCACGACGTGTATCTTCATCGCGGGCGGCACTGGTGTTACTTACACTATTGCCCGCATGCACCAGCTGTTCAAGTGCGTACTTCGCTGACCTCAACATCATTGTGTACTGACAATCCGCAGGGATATCCATGCTTCGGACGCTCGTGCGACGCGCGTCGTTTTCGTTTGGGCTGTCCGCACCGAGGGTAAGGTTGATTTTACGCATCAGCACGCGCTCAACTCACCCAATTACCTCTCCCAGAGGAATACAACTGGGTCGCGTCGTACATCCACAGGATTGCTGCCCTTGCCCCTCCGTCTGTTTCCCTCGCCGTCGACATCTACCTCACCGGCGGTGCCCGCACGGGCCAAGCGCTACCGGAGCTCGAGAAAGACTTCGACATCGAAAAGGACACTATCGTTACCTCCGCTTCCACGCCCACGCGCACCCGTTCCAACACCTCCGGTGGGGAGTGCAGCAACGAGAAGATCGAGTCGGGCGTGAATACGCCCCCCACCGCTGTCGATGGCGTCTTCGTGTTCCACCGCCCGGGGGTTTCACGGAAAGACGGGCGGCCCGACGTGCGGAAGATCTTGGAGGAAGAGATCACCGTTTCCGAAGGCGCAGTCGCGGTAGATGGTCAGTCCTTGCAGCGCTTTCCTTGGCGGGCCTTGAGCACTGACGCCGCCCGCCGCCGCAGTATCTGGTCCCGACGGCCTCGTCAGCACCGTGCGCTCCGCGCTCTCGGAGCCGTTCACCGGGCCTATCGCAACGATGCGCGGCACGCCCACCGTGCTGCTCAGCGTCGAGCAGTTCCGGATGTGAACGCCTACTGGCAGGCATGGTTTTTTTTTCTCCTTCTCACGACTCGAGGGTGCGCCGACGTGCCGGACACGACGCAAAAGGCTTCTGGCCACTAGATATATGCATATTTCGCGGAATATGCGACATGACTCACGATACGACGGCTACTGTATCATAGATCAGTACTGTGGGCCAGAGAGAGCTCTGATACATCATAGATTGTTTTGTCGGGATAATAGAACCCCACACAATGTAGCATTTTATTCAGTGAGCTCGTAGTCCGCTTCTATCACGGCCACCCGTACGCGTGATCAGTTGTTCGCTCTTCCGACCGCTACCTTGCGCGGTGCAGCCGCCGTTGTACACAACTGTCTGTATATTGTTCGAAGTGATTGTTCCAGTAGCACTACGTCTATTACTATTTACCTTGATATTATCGATTACAACAATACTGTCTCCCCACGTAGGATTTCAAGACAACCACAGCGCCACTGCCAGTGTCTGCCACAGCAGCGACCATGGGGGGGCCGTCCCTTATAGGCTAAGGTATAACAAGCGCCCAATGCCACGAGTCTACTGAGCGGGGGCGGGATCGGCGCTCTGTCTTGTTTAGGCAATCGGTGTTCCGCATTCGGTGACGTTGAAGTCGAACATCAAGAGACAAACAACGCGGTCGCGGGCGCACGTGAACTTTGTTACAACAAATTAAGGTTTGGATTCGATCGCGTCTTGGTGGCACCGCCGACATATATAAGCCTTCTTCCTTGCCCTTGGTCCGCCAGTTAACCCCATCTTCACCACTGCGTCAAACACCACCATGTTCACAACGCTCATCTCCATCTTTCTCTCAGTCTTCGGCGCCTTGCGTGCCGCCCCCCTCTACTATTCTCGCATCCTGACTCTTGGCAACACAGTCTGGGCTGGCTTGGGTGACCGCACAGCAACCATCGACACCCTCCCCGGCATCATCCCCAGCACACCCGTCTTCCGCCTGCCGCCTTCCCCTGTCGTGCCCACCCTACCAGCCGGAACACTTCCTCAATGCCTCGGCCCTTCGCTGGTGTTACTCCTTGCTGTCCTCACGACTACATTTGTCTTCTCTGGCGTCATATGGCGCCTGAGAGCCTTCTCACTAGCTCTCGGCGACCACGACACACACTTCATGCACGCCGGTGACCTCGAGAAGCATACCATCATCGACTTCTCGGGAGTCACCTACAACGGCCGCATGACCACGTCGGATGTCGACTTGGCAGGCTTCTTCGCGGGCTCCGCGGACACCCTGAGCACACATCTGGACCCCTCGCTGCCAGTCACCGATGCGCCGCGCGGCTGTGCGACGCCGACTATCCCACACGAGACCCCGGCGGCTCCCTCTTGCGCAGCCGAGCGCCCCACACTCACCGAGTCCTCGAAGACGACTTCCGGCTCTCCATCCGTCACACCGACGTCTGTCCTGCCGCCACCGACAGCTGTCAACCCCACCACCGTGCCCGTCGAACCCGCCACAGCAATCGAGGAACACCACGACGACGGGTGGGATACGTGGACAAACCATCGACGTCGACGACCACCCAGGCTTCAAGCGCCACCTTCCGCGAGAGCCTGGCGCGTTCGGTCCCTGTCCGTTTACGCGACCTCGCGCACATCGCACCGGCCCATCTCAGGCAGATTGGCCGCGTCCACCGCGCCGACTTCCGTCGCTCCATCCCCTCGCCGCTCGTCCGTAGCGGCGCCTCGTCCTACGCAGACCACCGCACGTAGCATAGGATCTCAGAACAGGTTTTCGGTTCTTGAGGTGTTCGAAGTGGAAGGGTGAGTGCAGATCAGGAAGGGGATTCGGCGTTGGCCACGCCGGCTTCTCTTCCTGCCCTGGACTTGCTCGCTCTCAGGGCGAGTTGGAACTTGGCCAGTTCCAATTCGCCCGACGAGACACTTCTCCACATCTCCATTACACTATACTTATTCACACTCTACGCACCATTCACACTAAGCACTGTATATTTATTTCCACATCATAGTCTTCTGTTTACGACCTGATCTTCTCTCATGTATGACTTATTTCTGACTCATAATGACATCGACCCGATTATCTCCTTACCTCGCGCTTGATTCTAAAATTGCTCGCCCAAGCTTCGAAGACCGTGTCCGAGTCTCAAATTATCTTAATATTGCTGCAGCAACTCGATCCTTCGCATAATTCTCGAAGACCGACAAGTTGAGTCTAGGGCTCGGGACGAGTCTGAGAGTTGCATCAGTCCTTACCGCAGCGCCTTATCCTAGTTCCGCTTCCGCGAGTACACGTCATGGCTCCTATGTATTGTCTCCAGCCGCACATAGTTGGTACAGTACAACGACTCCCCGTTGCGTGTGTATCCTTGAACATGCCTGAGTGGCGCGTCTTGTTCTACAGCTGGTGGCGTGCGGCATCGGGACTTGCCGTGCACTTTTAGCCATATGCGGCAAGTGTTGTAGGCTGTTGTACTTCGCCAAGGCTCGGGCCAGTGCGCGCCTAAATCTTAACCGTCAGCCACCACCATCCACCCACCTCCGCCGTCATCGACGCGCCCGCCAACCCCTTCGACGCGCAGAGTCTACGCGCCCAGCCTCCCTATCTGCTCACGACACGACATGGACAACGATGAATCTTCCGACATCCTCGGAGGACGCCTCCAGGTCTCACCTCCGGGTCCTGCTGTCTGGGCCGATCCTGGGCGCATTACTCTGTTGCTTGGGTTTGCGACCGTCGTCGCGCTAGCGTGGGTGCGTTTAGGACCCCATTTTAGGCAGTGGAGGGAGACACGATATCGAAAGTGAGTAGCGTGCTGCTTTTGGTCGCGGCGGGCGCCATATTCAACCGTGGACTGTAATTAGGGCAATGCGTCGCCGCCACGGCATTCCCGACGACGACCATCGGCCCTTCAATGTTGCATACGCTGCCGCTCTGCAGGCGAGGAAGGGTCAGGAAGGAAAGAGCCGGAACGCTACTCAGCAAAACCCACAAGGTGTCTCTGTGGAAGATGGCTCCCAGTTCCCACCAACGATAGACGCCCCGACTGGTGAGTATTGCGTATTCGCTACGGCTTCCTACTCATACGAGTCGTTTCTTGCAGTTCATCAAGATTTTGCTCCCTTACCTCCCCCGGTAGTATCTCATTCTGGATACCAGAACGGCCACGCATCATCTGCAGGTTACAACACTGAGGCTAACAGGTACGCCACTCCTTTCCGTTTAGCCACAACCGTCCGTCTTACAACGTATCCCAAGACACTATACGCCATCTTACCAGGATGTCGCTGGACCATCAACTTCACACCGTGTCCCACTCTCCCAAGTATCCAACAACTCGCATGTACCTAGTACTTCGGCTGTGCACACAGCCCGACCCACCACCGGAAGACAGAGCATAGCCACGCGGACAGTTCACGGCAAACACGCTCTTGATGACGAAACGGACGCTGAACCGGAGACGCTGGCCAAGAAGTCTCGTGTAGATGGCGAAGAACTCATCGACGGCGAAGAGGAACGCGAGTGGCGCGAGGATGGAGACGACATGGAGGTCGACTCCGCCGTGCCGCATGGGAAACGTGGTGCCAAGCGGATGGCCAGCCCGGACGACGATGAAGGGCTCGCGCAGTCGCGCGCGGAACGACGTGACAAAAGGGCCCGCAAAGTCTCCTTGGACAAGTCGGCGGATGCGCCCGACGACGAGATGGACGAAGACGAGTTGGAAGACGACCTCGAATACATCCATGACGTCGCCCGAGGAAAGAAGCGGGACCGTGCGGAGGCCGGTTCCACGTTCGGCGGCGATGACTCGCTCATCGACGAGGACGAGAAACCTCACAGGCGCAGGCGCAGGCGAGTGGTCTCGAACAGGGTCTCGCAGTCATCATCGCGTGGACAGAAGCGCGTCCGCGATCTCGATTCGGTCGACAGCGACGACTCGGAAGCTGAAAGGCCAAAACGAGAGTACACGCGGAAGAAACGTGGTAAACGGTCTGACGAAGAGATCGTACCACTTTCGAACGACCCTCTGTGCGGTGGAAGGCGTATTGGCGAAGAATGGGAGGCGAATGGCGTCCACTTCAAGGTGGGCCCCAATGGCCAGAGACTCAGGCAAGAGCTGGTCAAGAAGTCTAGGACTCGGTTCCCGATGGTGAGTTCATAATCGATTCGTTCTGTCGAAATCATCATCTGACTGTCTTCCAGCCGAGTGATTCTCAACATCCGGACCGCCGTGCGAACGTTGACGTCTATGTAGAGACATGGCTCACGGAAGAGGAATACCAGTCTGCGAAGGAGCGGCATGAGCTTGCGTGGCAAGATGCGCCCCCCACTCCCCCGGAACCCCAGACACCCGGTGATGTTCCCGTAAGAACTTCATTGATTAGCCACTATGATGCGTATTGACACTTGTTTGGATCTAGGACTCGCCTTCGAAGCTTGGCAAGAACCTCCTTTGGTCTTCTATGGCATCGAGAGAGAGTCCGGGACGGCGGGGGCCTCTCAGGCAATCCGTCGCTACCAACGTGGGTCTGCGCTTGAGCATGCTCGCACCTGCGCCTGTATCCTCGAACCTTCGCATATCCTCGGTATATCAGGCGCCTGCTTCCCCCGCTGCCGACAGCCCCAAAGTCCATAAGTCGAAGTCTTACTCGAAGTGGGAGAAGCAAGACCTGGAGGCTGCCGCTATGTCTAAGATCAGGGAAAAACAACAGCTGCAGCGACAACTGAAGACTGCGCCGGCCGCCGCAGCACCACCTTCGAACCTGTTCAGTGCGCCGTCGGCCACACCTGCGGCGCCTAAACCTGTGGAGAAACCGGCCCAACCGCCGATGCCATCGTTCGGTTTCCCGCCCGCCCCGACATCTGCCCCGACTAGCAAACCTGCTGCGGAGCCTCCCAAACTGAACATCCCTGGTTCTACGCCCGCTGCTACGCCCAGCAATCAGCCTAAGCCTGTTACGCCCTCATTCCCCTTCCCTGCGTCGTCGGGCAGTGCTCCCTCGGCAGCATCCACCAAGCCGCCCTCGACCTCCGTTCCCAATTTCTTCTCAAAGCCGGCGGTCCCTGGGCCTACTGCCGCAGCACCCACCCCTCCCGCCAGCGGCATTCCTAGCTTCTTCGCCAAGCCTCCCCAGAATAGTACCCCTACTAGTGCACCGGCCCCCACTCCTGCAACTGCCCCCAAGTCTACTTTCTCCTTTGCACCGACTCCCTCTTCCGCTCCCCAGGGCACGCAGCCGCCGACGAATAGCGCACAGGCCGCGAAGCCAGAAGAGCCGAAGCAGGCCCCTGGCGCTTCGTTGTTGTCCCGCCTCGGAATGGGCCCACCGCCAGCTGCCCAGGGGCCCTCCCCGTCGGCGTTCGGTTTCGGAAAGCCTGCGCCCCCACCAGCTTCATCCGCGTCGAACCCAGCAGCGACTGCCTCCCCCTTCGGAGCTCCTACGAACGGCACGAGTAGCTCCGATTCTGCTCCGAAGTTCAGCTTTGGGGCGCCTCCGAAGCCGGCCAGTTCTGCACCTCCGCCTGCACCCGCGACGAATGGGACCTCAGCGGAAGCTACATCAAACCCGAAGTTTAGCTTCGGTGTGAACAACGCTCCCGCGCAGCCCGCTGCGCCTGCTCCCAGTGCGCCCGCTCCAAGCCCATTCCAGAACAGCGCGACCAACGCTTCGAGCGCCCCGAAATCGGCGTTTGGCTTTGGCAGCTCGAGTACGCCTACTTCAAGTCCGTTCGGCGGTTCTTCGAACACTGCTGCGAGTTCCACGCCGTTCGGTGCGCCCTCGGGGACCAACTCGTCGGCCGCTAACTCCTCGCCCTTCGGTGGACCATCAGCGGGTTCGTCTACGCCAACGTCGAACCCCTCGCCTTTCGGAGCACCCGCGAACGGATCGGCGAAGCCCTCCGAAGCACCTAAGTCGGCGTTCTCGTTCGGGAACAACACGGCGTCGTCCGCAAGTACGCCTATGTTTGGCGGCGCGGGCGCGCAGAATCCGACTACGCCGAAGACAGATGTACCGGGTTTGAAGCCTTCCTTCTCGTTTGCGTCGTCGTCTACGCCGGCATTCGGAGGATCTTCATCTACCCCTACCTTCGGCGGGTCGTCGACCACCTCTGCGTTCGGCGGGCCGTCGTCCACCTCTGCGTTTGGCGGGTCGTCATCTACCCCCACGTTCGGTGCGCCTTCGTCTACCCCCACCTTTGGCGCAACAAGCACGCCCGCCGGGGCTCCCGCATCCAAGGCCTCGTTCTCCTTCGCCAACGCCGCGGGCTCCACACCTGCCGCGAACAAGACGGAGAGCAAGCCCACCCTCTCATTCAACTTCGGCGCGCCCAGCAGTACTAGCAACAACGGCACCGCGCCTTCGGCACCTGCACCCTCCGCATTCGGCTTCGGGGCGCAGCCGTCGTCAACCACCCCGGCGACGCCTGCCGCGTCCTCGCCGTTCGGCGCTCCCCCGGCCCAGTCGGGCGCGAGTGCGTTTGGCTTCGGCGCGCCGTCGTCAGGATCATTCTCGTTTGGCTCCAACGCAGGACCTGGACAGAACACGCAAAAGTAGTTACATAGGCTCCGCCATGCACCTTCCTTTCACGTATGCCTTCCGCTCAACCCTCCTTGCACATACTAAGCAGTACAGTATTGTTGAGATTCTACACGCGTAAATATGTATATGTAGTTACGCTGCATTGTAAACAAACCAGTCATGCACAACATATTCTCAATCGTCCGATTCGAGTTGGTTGTGGTCCTTGTGGAAGAGAAGCTCGGAGTTGGTGCGCCTAGCGGAGATGCACGTGAAAGACTCGGAGGTGGCTGACGGGCGAGGCCATCTCGATCAGAGCTTTCCCCACACCAGCTCACTTCCGAGGTGCATCCAATACGGATGCAGCATCGGCCTACTCATTGCACGGCGACACTGGCTAAATCTCAACCTTGAAACGCTGTGCGATACGTATACCAAGCTGGCTTGCGACGAAGTCCGAACCTAGTCTCAGTCTGCTGTTTCCATTCTACACTGGGGCAACCATCGTCGCACTATACTCACACTCTTTTCATCATCTTTTTGAAGACTGTGGGTCTGCCTTGGACGATGTTGTCTACAAATCCTATGGCGACGCCCCGGCCGTTGCCTCCGGCGAAGACTCGCAAGTCGAGTGCCTTGCACTACTCTACGCTTGCCCCACCTCCGCCCTATGCCCCCTCTCTGTCTGAGCTGTCCTTGGACTCTCCGTCACCAAATGGCGCGCTCCCCGACGCTACCGCGCCGATTGACGAGTGGATGGACGAGAAATCACGGGAGGAACTCTCCGGGCTGCTTCTCAAGGCGGATGGGATCATCAAGACCCGTGAAACAGGTGTGCATTAACGTTCCTGCCTGTGTCCGCGTGAGTTCACCCTGCTGTCTCAGAATTGAGCTATACTTCGGCTCTGGTCAAGAGCCTGTACGACGACAATGTCGCGCTCAAGACCAAGCACGAGACCCTTCTCGCGCGACTCCCGGCCATGTCCCCTTCACCCTCGACCCCCACTTCCCCGCGTCTCAGGTCGCCCAGCTCTTCGTTGTCTCCCTTCCCCGGAATTATGTTCCCCTCGTCCTCCGAAGACTCGTTGCAACCCTTGCCCCCGGCCGCTCGTCTTCGCCACACGCGCAGGATATCCGTGACCCCCGGAGACCTAGCCCATCTGTCCGACCAGAACGCGGAGCTCCTTGACAAACTCGAGAGGCTCGAGTCCGAGTCCACGAAGGCGGACGAGGCGGGGAAACGCAAGTTGCGCAAGCTCGAGCAGGAGATCCAGACGCTCCGAGACGAGCTAGACAAGACACATGCGCGCGGTGCGGAGTTGGAGGAGCAGGCTAAGGCTGCTATCAACGCCGCGCAGATACAGCAGCGCAGGGAAGAGCGTCAGGCATGGGTGCGATCCCTGAAGGACAAATCTGCGTCTGGCTCCGACTTGTCCGGTGCCGAAATCAAGGACTTTGCGCCCCCTGCTGAGCTACCTCGGTTCGCTGCCCATACGCTCTCATATGGACCAGCGCCAGGGGACCCCTCGGACGCGTCCGGTGATCTGTCCGATGCCTCCTTCGAGCCCCCCTCCTTTGACGAGGATATTCTTGAAGACGGCTCAGCCGGCCACGACTCGTATATCTCAACTCCCCCCACCTCAACCCGCGACCCGCCGCAGATGGAGACCGAGTACGCCATCGTCTCGCAGCTCCTGCTCAAAATCCGTGAACTGGAAGAAACCAACGCCCAAATTAAGGAGCAACAGAGCATCACGGAGGAGCACATGCGCGCCGCCCGGTGGGATGTCGACAGCATTAACCGCATGTATGACTGTCTGGACGTAGCCGACATCGACATCGAGGACCCGGAGGAAGAGGAACAGCCTATGCGTGGGTCCCGGATACCCTCCGGCGGCACCATTAAGTTCAGCAGCCTGCGCAGGACGTTGCAAGGCGACATGAGCAGGTTGTTAATGGACGACGCGTCGGATAGCTTCGTCGGTGGTATCTCCAAGGAGATGCAGAGCACCGTCCGCAAGAGTATCGGGGGCCACCGAGGAGCCCCAGGACACAAAGCGCGGAAGTCAATAGCCGGGCTTTTCGACATAGAGCCAGAGCGGGAGCGCGGCTATGCAGCGTTCAGAGTATCCCCAGGCTTGCATGCGAATCACCGATCCGTAGACCTCGCCGACACTTCTATATGGTCAGCTGCGGCGACGGACGGTGTTGCTCCTCCCTCCCCATCCTTCAGCGCGTTGCAGACTCCCCTGGACGGGCCACATACCGGGCGGACCTTGGGCAGCGAGCTTGGAAGCGAGTTTGGCGACGATTGGCCGGAACGAGGCTTCAACCATCACCTCCGCACCACCAGCCTGTACTCGCTCGCGGGTCTCAATCTCACGCAGTCGACCCCGGGCTCCCCAGTCGAATCCCCGCCCGCTCCGCCATCCATTGTCTTCCCAACTCCACCCGAAGACCACCGAGAAGAGTACACGGCGGGCCCCTCCACCCCACCACGATCCCAGGCGCTGCAGCTCACAGTAGAGCCTCCGACTCCAACGCCGGAGCGGTTACGTTCTCCTGGGGCGACACGACAGATCCGCCTCTCGCAAACGATGCGCGCGCGGACGAACCGCTGGGTCGAGGGCCGCTTCCAGCAAGAATCCCTGCGGGATAATGTTCTGCGCAGGCGGCAGTCGACCTCCAGGCAGACGAGCACAAGTACCGCCAAGGGGAAGGCGCGCGCCGCCCCCGGCTCAGACGCCACCGCGACCTTGGACGAGACGTTCGACGACGCGGTCGCGCAGATCCGGCGCGTGCGCAGCCGCGCGAGTCTCGCCACGCTCGGATTCTCCGCACCCCTCGCCCTCCCAGACCCGCGCGAGACGGGGGAGGACGAGACAGCAGAGGAGGCGGAACGGTCGGTCGAGCTACGGCGGCTGTCGCAGGAGGAGGCCGCGGCAGTCGTGGACCCGGCGAAGCGCGAGGGCTTCGTCGGGTTTGTGCTCGAGGCGTGGCTGTGGCTGCAGTTCGCGATCGTGGTCATGCTCTTCCTGTGGGCGATGGCGAAGCGCGGGCCGAAGGTCGTGCTCGAGGCGGAGCGGCGGAGTGCACAGCGCGGCGGAGCAGGGCTCCAGTAATCATTGGGGAGGACTCACGGAAGGATGCATACCACGCTCATTTACATCTAGTACCGTACAGTCGCAATAGTCGTTGTATCAGCATGTATGCGTACCATCTCACCACACACTTGACTCTCGTTATTGGACTATAATATTTCCTTCTTGGCACGGAACTGAACTACTGGCAGCGGGAAAGCATATTACAACAGCTAGTACAAGATAAAGAGCTAAAATCCGGAAAGCGGGAGACGGGAGACATGACTGGAACAGGAGAAGAAAAATCCCATGGATGCATCACTTGCCGACAGCCTTCTCGAGCCACGCCAGCAGCGCCCTGTTCAGCTTCTCGGGCTGCTCAAGCTGCACCCAGTGCCCGGTGTCGAACGTCTCCACGGTGGCCTTCGTGCAGAACTGCCGCACGATCAGCGCGGACGGCTCCGCGAGGCACACGTGGTCGCGCGCGCACGCCGCGAAGTACACCGGGTGGTCGAGCCGCATCCATTCGGGCTTCACGGCTGCGCGCGTGCTGCATGAGTTAGCCGGCCGGGGAGGCAGCTGGAAATGGGCGCACCTTTGTCGTCCTCGGACATGAGGCCGGAGGAGAAGACCTTGAACCAGTTGAGCGCGGGGCCGAGGCCCGTCTTGCCCCACTCCGCTAGCATGCGGGCTTTCTCCTGTAGAACACACAACTGTTAGTGTAGCTACACATCGTTATTCACAGTGATACTGACATCCGGAGTGATGTACGGCGCCAAGGGCGCCTTCTTGTTGGCCAGCAGCCACGCCTTGAGAGGGCCGGGGGGCGAAAGCACAGTCTTCCAGAGGCCGGGGTCAGCAGCGTACCAGATGCTCTGCATAGACTCGAGCTGCAGCGTCGCGATGCGTCAGCGACAGCCCCCAGAACGAAGGGCGCTACAGACGTACGTGCGCGTTCACGATGTCCTTTGCATGGTCCTCGGCCAGGAAGCTGCAGATGCATCAGGATCTGCCCGCCGCGCTGAACGAACGCGGGTACACACAGCCAGTACCCGAACAGCTCGGCCTTGAAGTGCTTCACGTTGTGCTCGATCGCGTCCTTTATCTGGAAGCCGGCGAGCGAGGGGTAGTACCCGCCCGACAGGAACGCGAAGCCGGCGAACCGTTCCCGGTAGTACGACGCCAGGCGCGAGGTCACGATAGAGCCCCTGCGAGTCCATCGGTACCCCAACGCAGCGCAGCACGCAAGGAAACGCACCAGTCATGCCCGACCGCCACCGCGCGCCCAACCTTGGCCTGCCCGAGGATGTCGACGAGGTCCGCACAGATGCTGCTCGGGGCGTAGTACTTGAGGTGCGCCGGCTTGTCGGACCCCCCATGCCCGAGGAGGTCGGGCGCGACGACGCCGTAGCCGGCGCGGAGGAAGAACGCGACCTGGTGGCGCCAGTCGTGCGCGGTCGACGGGAAGCCGTGCACGAAGAGCAGGGTGAGCTTGGACGCGTCGCGCGGCGGGGCGACGAAGGTGTGGTAGGTGTGTCCGGACCGGGCGCGGATGTCTTTGTACGAGCGGGCGTCCATGGTGTCTTTGGCGTGTGATTGCATTGTGCAGTATGCTGGTGCAGAGGAGTCAGAATGGAGAGCGGAGAGCGGCGCAGGTAGAGGTGGAAGTAGGTGATGAGTGTGGCTTGGAGAGGGAGCAGAGTATTTAAGGGAGGAGGTCCTTTGTCCTTAGCCACCAGGGCGGTACGCGTGTTAAGCCACAGATAGTGCCATGCAGGGGGGACTAGCGCCAGGTCATGCAGACAAAGAGGTTTGAGCGAAAGGACACAACGTTCGAAGCCCGCGCTGATGAGGCGTGTCGCCGCGAACCGAGTGGCGTGAGTGTAGAGCACATCGAGGAGGGCATAAAGTCAGCCTGCCGAGTGGCAGCTGTAAGTGAGAAATAAGTCGCGGTGGTAGTCCATGGCTAGCAAGCAGTAGGGCCCCAGAGGAACTGCACTTAGGTCAGATAGCTGGTGACGGGGTCCAGTCATACGGCAGAGGATGTTGACGAAGAGCTGTCCCTTACGGCTGTATGTAGGGTCACTACGCACGAATTCTGTTATTGCCCAGTAGTCCCGCCTCATTTACCCCGCGCAGATGGACACGCACCTTTTAAACATAGGTATCATCATATTATGAACTGCCTAGCAGCCTTGGCTGACCAGGTCGACGACTGGCAAGCAGGAGAGATGACAGCAGTGTCTTGCCAAGACGACCATTTGCTCTGGTCTCGTCTTGCAATCATCCCAGCACATAGTTGCGGCACAGCAGCCAAGATCGCTGCACATGGCCGACGAGGTTGGCAAATTTGGCAACGGGTGCAATATCGAGCAGTGGATGGGCGTAGCAAACTCCGAGTCGGACCTCGGGCGACAGAGGGAACGTTCTCCGGCGTCTATGTCGCGCAGGTCTAAACCCGATATGGCAGGTACGAACGCAGACGACAGACGACAGGCGCGTGACGTCATCCCTCTCATCACCGTGTTCCCTGCGTACCCGCAGGACTCCGTCTCCCTCGTCTTCGATATCTAATTCACTTTAGGGTAGGAGCACGCCAAGAATAGCACGCTGCCTCTGCACGATGCATCCACGCCTACGGTCAACCTTGCTTTGCGTCTCTCCCCCACTCCACGACCAGACATGAAGGTGCGCGACGCGACCAGCAGGCGTCGAAATCGTACTCATCGCCTTCTATCAGCTTGTCTCGAAGGAAGAGCTGGACGCTCAGCAGCGCGCGACCATCGTCGGCGGGCTCAAGGGCTTTTTCGGCGGCCTCGCGTTTGCTCTCCCTGTGTCATACGCCCTTCACCGCAAGTGGCCGTACTATCGCGCCCTCCCGCCGTCTCTCAAGGCCTTCGGTGTCGTTCTCGTCGCGGTCCCGTCCTTTGCAATCTCTGCAGAGCATGCGGGTCAACGTTTCGAAGAGGCACGCTGGTAAGCATTTCTTGCAAGTCTGAACCATCCATTCATCAACGCATCATGGCACAGGACTGGCGCGGGCAAAGTTGAGCTAGACACCGTACAGGCGCGGCAGAAGGCGCGATGGGAGCGCATGACTATCGCACAGAAGTTCAGCGACTTCGCCCGGCGACACGAATACGGAATCATTCTCACCAGCTGGGCGGCGGCACTCACAGGCTCGTTCACCTACATCATGCGCGACCCGTACGTGCGCGCTTCGTGGGAGTGGGATGTGCAGTGTATTGACGTTATGTATTCTTGCAGTTATCAGTCCGTTCCTCAGAAGGTTTGCCGCACAGCTTCGAATCCCGAGGATCAGGTCATTCTAATAATACGGCGCAGATCGTCCAGGCCCGTATGTGGGCACAAGGGCTCACCATTGGCATCATAATCGCCGCGGGTGTCTTGACGCACTCTCAACGCGCCAAAGCGTACGACGAGGAAGAGGACCATCGTTTCCGGCACGTCGTAAGTGTTTATTCATATGCGCGAACGCACCCTGGACTGCTGGGGGTTTACATCACACGCGTATAGGCACCCGATCACTCGTGGAAAGACATCCTTGATCAAGAAGAGAAGGAGCTGGCCGCGCTGCAGAAGAAGCCACCCACGCGCCCGACGTGAGCAACGCTGCGTGTGCGTGTGTACCTTTTGCTCTGCGTGTTTAGGGTGAGGTCGGGCGTTCGGCTTTTAATACCAAGTATCCCGGCTGATATTTGGTCGTGCGCAGGCTGTACTCTATATGTAGACTTGCGTTACCAACCACCCACTTGATACAATCAGGCTGTGGGCCCGGGCGTGGCTAGATCACATCCCATCTACGATGCGGGTTTTAGCGTCAGTGTTGGACCATCGGGCGGTATGTAAGCGGGAATAGTCTCAATGTTACCCCATGTATTTCATTTGGGGCAGCTGGGACCGGGCCCCGGGCGCGCAGGTTCTCCGCGGGGTTTTCGGGGGAAGCTATAGGGCGTGTGCACATACAGTAGACGTATGAATGTATATGTATACGCAGTTCTCTCTGCTGACTTACACTAGTGGATGGCGAACGACGCACGAAAGATGGGTATGGAGGGTTCCTGGATGGATTGCTAAGAGCTGCGAGCCACATGTCAATTTTCTAGGAAGGAGTTCGGCCGTAGATGGGGGACACGCGCAGGGCGGCGCGCATACAGTCAGACATTTTGGAAGTCGTCCGATAGAGACGCGGCCGAGGAGCCGGGGATTGGGCGAACCCACCATGCCCCGGCCCCCTTTCCGTTCCAGTCCGCGTCATCCGTTCCGCGTCCGCCGCCGACTTCTAAGCAGCCCTCCTCCGTTTCTCTTTTTACAGTCCGAACATCCCTCCTTGCCTCCTCCGCCCACCTCCTACGCCCCCGGCCCCTGTACATCCCCCGCCACTCCCCCGCTCCTTGCCCCCAACCACCAGACGCCACCCGGACGCCTGAGATCGCACCGGAGCGCGCGCGCACCTTGAACGGCCGCAGAACTCAAACTATCTCGCGCAGGAGACGACGTCATGACGCACTGCTACACCAGGTGAGTACGCGCTCGCAGCAGCTATCAATCACGGAAGGACCGCCCGCGCGTCGTACGAGCGCATCGCGCAGGTCGCGCCGCAGTCCTGCACGGTCCTCAACAGAACGGGCGGACAAGAATAGGCGCGCGCCTGTGACCGCGTTCGTCAGTGACTGCCGTGTTGCCGACGCAAGCATCCCTTCCACCCACTCTCGCTTGCCCTCCTGCCCCCACCTTCGTTTTCGCTCCCACTCCACTCCTCGCCCGTCTCCCACCGACACACACTCCTCGTCTTCCTTCCACTCAACGCCGACACAGTCGAGTCGTCTGCTGACACACATGTCGCTCTTCAGGTCTCTTTCTCTTGCCGGCTCCCTAGCCGGCGCAGTATGGAATCTTGCCTTCGCGCTCCGCCTCCTCGCCCTCTCGCGCTCCCTTGGTGGCGAGAACGAGTCTGAGTGGGAGAGCGCCATCGACGTCCGGGCGGTCGACAGCGTCCGCCTCGTCTGGGGCCTGCTCTTCGTCTACTTCGCTGCTGCGTCAGCGTCATGTTTCATCGGATTTGTAGGGCTGGCTAAGGTAAGCCCTTGTTCACCCGGACTCTGCTCCGGGCCCTTCAATACACTTCGTCACACGTAATTCTGACGCCCTCCCTCCCTCTCTCTCGATCTCGGTTCTGCCCCCGCTCATCTCGGATGCAATAGCATGTCCGGCTGTTCGTGCGTATCTATCGCGACTACTCAATCGCGGACTTTGTGTTCGTCACGCTCGCAACACTGGGCGTGAGCTACACGACGTTCAGCTCGTCGACCGTGCGCTCGACGGTGTGCGAGGAGCTCTCGAGCCACCCCGAGCTGATGCGCGACATGGGCGAGATGGGCCTCTCGCTGGAGAACTGCGAGCAGTGGTTTGAGCGTGCGGTCGTGGCCGTGCTCGGGGTCATGTTTATTCTCATCGTCGTACGAGTGAGTGTCCCGCCTTCCTCGGCGTGATGACGGGGTGCTGATGACTGATTGTGCCTCCCCCATCCGCTGCGGTCCATCCTGCCATCCATGATCCACAGCTGCACATCGTCATTGCGCTGTCGCAATACTACCGCCACATTGGCCCGAAGGCCCACCACGGCCTGAGGCCCATCAAGACGGACATGCCGATGCAGCGCATCTACCTCGTCAACACGCCCTCCGCGTCCTCCCCGCCGTCGTCAAGCCACGGCCGCTCACACCACTTCACGTCCGCCAAGGACGTCACGGTGTACGCGACCGTGCCCGTGGGGAGCATGACGGAGGAGGACGCCCGGAATATGCACGCCACGGAGGCCTGGATCGCACCCGGCACTGCGGCGCCGCGCACACACCGGCATTCGCACTCGCACTCGCACATCCACTCGCACTCGCGCTCGCACAGGCATTCGCACTCCCTGTCCGGCCGGGCGGCCGACTCGTCACGGCAGGCGGCGGCGCCCACGGACGACGAGAAGGCGGCGTTCTTGGCATGAGACGGACACCCTCGCCCCGGACTCTGTCGGCACTTCTCTTCGCAGAAGCGTGCGGATGTAGGCGCGCGCGGACGGGAGGGGGGTGTCGAGGACCACGACCACGACCATCGCCGAAGGAGCGCGTTGGCACGCCCCAGTTTCCGGTTCTTTTGTTATGCATGTGTATTTGAGCTTGTTCTAGTACGTATACATTATAGCCCTGACTAGGTGCCGCACCCACTCCGTCATTGCGCAGCTTCTCGGTGCGCGTTTTCTCCGCATACGAGTTCCCCCTCTTCTCCTCCCTCCTACCCCCACCCGTCCCCGGGCTGCGATCGCGCTTGTGGCAGCCTGCGTTGCTGCTGCGACTGTTGTGGCCGGGCCTTCCTCTCCTTGAATCCAAATTCTTTTCACATTGTCTGACGGCTGTACTGTGGACACCGGGGCCTGTACATGGACACACGGTTGGCCTGGTTACGTACGCCCGTTGTATGCATACCTTCTCGACGCCCGCTCGACGAGCGAGGATCCCATCGTATCCAGAGTGGTGTGGTGTGGCGGTTCTTGAACGATCGAGGTACGTTGGAACGAGCCTGAGGAGTGGGAGTGTGGGAGACAGGGCTCGGACGTGTGCTACGTGTGCAGGCTTGCGTGCAAGCTCATAAACCTACTTAGCATGACAGCGACAGACGCATGCATTGAAGTCTCAAATTCTACATCTGTTCGTACAAGATCTCGGGCGAACGGTGAAAACGGGCACTCGAGTTACAGGGGCTGTTATGAAGAAAACAAACGCGGCTCCGGGTTCGTGTGTGAGATGTGATGGGATGAGCTTCATTCTCGAGAAATACCTATAGCGAGGAGCTTCGGCGAACGCGCGATTGGCACTGTACTAGTAGCAAGATCATGGCAGGCTCCTGGTGTGTTTTGTTCAGCGAACTAACCACGAGAGGATCCTGCTGGTCTAGTGCTGGTGGGCCAGCACTGTAGTCTGTAGCGTCGGATGCGATATCCAGCATCACATCTATCCCGTCCTCGTCTTGGCACGGCGTCGGTATGCGCGGCAGCCTCGGACGGGTTTCCTGCATCAATCTGCGAGCATCAAGTCGTTCCAGTGGACGAACCACGACCCCAGCAAAAAGGACAGCGCTCACTTCGCAATAGCGTTGACTTCCTTGTAGAGCTCGAGCGGGCTTGGGATGATGTCGGCCGTGAGATGGTCGGTAAGCTCGAGCCAGAGGTCGACTAAGGGAAGCCGTTCTGCTGTCGGGCCATGGGCGAGACAGAGAATGCCCTTGCACAACAGAGCCTGAGCCTCCATGTCCGCTTCAGAAGTGTCGGGCTGTGAAACGTCACTGTCGCCGCTGCCAGGAGAGGGAAGATTAACGCGTGGAGGACGCGAGTCACCAGATGCAGAAGGACGCAAGTGTTGGGACGAGGAACAGACTGCAGCGGTTCTCTTGCTTTCTGCGCCGTCTTGAGCGGGACGCTGCGCTGAACGTCCTCCCCAAAACGACGCTTCATGACGACGTGCTGCATCACCTCGACCTGCACTGCGTTGTCTTCGTCAAACAGGTCGGCCTTCCGACGTAGGCGGACAGTCGTCATGTTCTCGAGCCAGTGGTAGCAATCGTCGAACGGGAACGGCGTGATGCACTGCACGAGCGCGCGTATCCCGGGATGGCTGGTGTTGGGATATATGGCACGACCATGTCGAGTGTGTATCTCTTCGTAAGGCTGGGAGGACGCAGCGTGGTGCCGACGAGGGCGATTGCGAAACGGAACTAGAGATTGATTATGAAGGGCATGTCTAGGCTCTGGAACAAGTCAGGAAGTGTATACTAGGTCACTGAACACTTGGACACACCGTATGGAGGTAAACGGGATATTTCTTGGCCATCAGTTCTAGTTCGTTCGCTTTTGTGATAGCAGCAGGACTATTGAAGTGCTCGACCATGGCCACTGGGTTAAGGCGGATCACAGCATATTGATATAGAGCAGGCCATATTTCCTTCATGATGCAAAAGTTTGCGAAAGGTCGCGCTACCCTATATCTGAGGCACGGTCAGATGAAAGGCATTCCTATAGGGGTATACACATCGAATTTTGATCTTTGGGTTATTTCGCGCCACTTTGTCTTGCGGACGCTACTTGAGCGTATGGCGGGCGGGCCCGCTGGGGAGTCTCATGTTGGCCTATTCTGGTTCGCTAGAGCCAGGGGACTACGAACAGCTACATTTGCTGCCGAGCGGACGCGTGTGCGTGCGCACGCAATCTATCGGAGAAGGAGTGGGCCCGATGAAGGCCTGCTTCTGAACTTCACGCTCTACCTCCGGCGATTGAGATGCTCCCTGCAGGTGATAGCGAGCCTCTCTGACGTAGGTGCGCGTCACCGGCCGGAAGGTAGATCGTGGGTTCGTCTCCGGGGATTGTAGGGGTGCCGGAAAGCCAGCGACGGCAGCTGGTGCGTGCGGATTGGTGGGCTGCGGGGAGCGGGCGACCTAGGGACTGGGCCAGAACCCGGGGCGCAATACAAATCGCCACATGCGGGCCTGGGCCTTGCCTCTGGTCGCGCGTGTCAGCTATATATGGGGGAGGGCCATCTGTCGGAAGGGACGTACGATGAGAAATTTCTGCGTGGGCAGAGACGGACGGGTGCAGGGCGGGGTTTGCGCTCAGATTGGCCTTGTTGTTGGAGATAGGCGGCGAGAGGTTAGGTGGGCGCCGAGTAGTAGCTGAGCTCGGGGGGACGCGCACTCAGGGAAGATCGCGGTCGTCTGCGCATGCGTACGCAGCAAGGGCGGGGCCTGGCCACAGATTTTCCAAATTGAAGGGGTGGGAGGAACGAGTATCCATATGCGGACGTGCGGGAAGTGCCGGGGCAGCTTTGGGAGGCGAAGGTCGAGGGGGCAGCACATGCGCCGCACACAGCAGAATGCGATTATCCACAGATCATCCGGCGAAAGAGATGTGCGGCGAGGGGCATGTGCACGTGCTCGACGGCTAAAATGTGCGTAAGAGGGGGAGGAGGAGGTCTGGCCGGGACGGGGATACAGCGCGATTCCAAGGACCCGACCAATTTGGTCTCTGAATTGGTCCGAAGCGCCCGCCCCTAACGATCAAAGTCAACCCTAGAATCAGGTTACGAGACCAAATGTACCGCACGTGATCCTTCTAGGTATTCCCCCGCGAAGTTGCGGACGGCCTCGATGGGCACACACCAGCCCCATGCACTCGGAAGAATATAAATTACATTAAATTAGACGTTTTTAACGTACTGGAGGGGTTTTAGACATGTTCAGAAGGAATACGCTTGTGGTACAGCATGTATACTTGACCAGGAAGAGCTAAAGTTACTCTATGTGCATACATTCGCGGCGGCGCGCCGCCGCGAACCTCCAAAAAAGCCAGAGGATATCTCTTGTAAATTTTGGGCACTTTGAAACGACTTTGAGCGATGTTCGAGCACATAAACACCGTCCACCTCGTCCTCCGCTTCGCGGGTAGTCATAATATAAGCGCCCATATCCGTACAGTGCGGCGGCGTGAGCCGCCGCGAAGCTCTCGCAAATCCAA